GAGGCTGAGGCAGGAGGATCACAAATTCAAGCCCAGTCTGGGGGAACTTAAGACACTTAGCAGATCCCGTCTCAATGAAAAAAACAAAAGGTCAAATGTCACCAAGTCCAGAAAAATAACTTAATTAATACCGTGTAGGTAGTATTAACTGCCTACACACCTCTATAATACTCTCCACAGAATAGCTGTTCACTCTGTATATTTCAAATCTTGCTGCTCCTCTGCCATCTAGGTACTTCATAGTACCAAGAGCCACGGGACACTGTCATATCACACATGAGGTCTCTCTCTGTACCCTCACAGGGAACAATGACCATTGTCTTCTGGAAGCCACTCCTACACCAGGTGGCTAGGCTAAGGTGAGGATATGTGAAAATTGTGGGCATATATCCCAGGAAACTGCAAATCCAATTTCTCACCTTCTCCGTAACCAGACCCCCAAGTCCAATACCAGGGCAAGAGCACAATGGAGAGGCAGCTGGAGGAGTAGAAAGAGAGCACTTCTGGTTTTGTTTTTTTGAGACAGGGTCTCGCTATGTAGTTCAGGCTGGCCTTGAGCTCACTTTGTAGCCCAGGCTGGTCTCAAACTCACAAGGATCCTCCTGCCTCAGCCTCTTGAGTGCTGGGACTATAGGCATGTACCACCACGTCTGGCAAGCACTTGTGTTTTTTTTTTTGTTTGTTTGTTTTTTAAGCACTCGTGGTTAAAAGAGCTGATGTTTGAGAAATTGACAGAAATCCCAGGCCCCATCAACACCTTGCTGGAGCCTTCCCAGGGTTTGTGTAAGGAAGAGTTAGTGGATTTCATTAGCTTCCTGGTGACTTGACCTGTGCCCTTGAAATTCTTGGTCCACATCTCAGATGAGCTCTCAGCCTGCTTAGAAAGTCTATATTCACAGCCTAGGTAGATTTTCTACCTTTCAAAACGAGGACTTCATGTCTTTCTCTTCAAAGGATTCAAAGCACTTTGGTGCTGATGGAAATACCCAAGATTTCTGGTGACAGTGGGTAGACACCAGTGCAGTGGAGAAAACAGGGAAGTGGGGGAAACCCCTTTCCTACAGTGGGGAGGGCACAGCAGGTGTGGGTCAACGGGCATGGGAAAGAGGAAGCCTCTTCTGGAGAACAATGGACCAAGGTAGGACACCAAAGTTACTCAGTTTTTATTTTGGGGAGATTGGGGGGATCTCGCCATGGCCTTGAACTTCTAGGCTCAAACGATCCTTTTGCTTCAGCTTTCTGAGGAGGCCAGTGTCACTGTGCCTAGCTGCAAAGTGATTTTTGAGACAGAAACTAGACAACATAGCTTTCCTGGTGGATATTCTCTGCTGGCTTCCCACTGCACTTAGACTAAAACCCAAGCGCCTCTGCGGCCCTGTGCGACCCACCATGCCTCTCCTGTCTGTCTCCACTGCTTCCAAATTCTCAAGCCCAGATTCTTTGGCCGTCTTTCTCTAGCTCCCACCAGCAAAGCCTTCTTCTAGCTCATGGACTTTGACGCTGCTGTCTCTTTTTACCGGGACTCAAGCTGACAACATTGGGTCCCATTATCACCTCTTCCTAGACCACCTCTTGCTGAGGAGCAAGAGTACAGTAGCACCACGGTATACTCTAGCGAGTCATTGCCAGGGAAAGGATGACCTGCAGTGGTTCACGTAGGTGGAGCTCACGAAGGTGAGAAATTGGATTTGCAGTTTCCTGGGATATATGCCCACAATTTACTCAGATGGGCTCTGAGTAACTTTGTCAGTTACAGACCCGAAAGACTGCATTGGCCGGTTCACGTAGGTGGAGCTCCAGCCTTATAACCATTTGAAGTTATCCTGTAACAGCTTCTCTTTTCTTGGTTATTGTCTGTCTTGCCACTGTAATGTAAGCTTCAGGAACACCCAGACCGGATGTGCCTTCTATACCTAACAATACCCAATGCATAAGATGCACTGAATAAACATCGACTTGGTGAATAAATGCAGCAGCTGCGCCCACAGATGCACAGATGCTCAGAGCGTTTTAGTTTCCTTCTGGGACCTCTGTAAGACTTACAGCCCAGAGGAGAGCGTGGCCTGTCATCGCCACAATCCTGACAGTGAGCCAGACTCTTGGCCCAGAGGGAACCGGCTGAAAGAGGTAGGAGACAGAAACCGGGGACAGAGACAGAGATAGAGGGAGACCAAGATACACAAAGACTGGAACCCAGCCTCGGCGCCCGGAGAGCAGTCGAAGAGCCCCCGGAGGAGGGGCGCGGAGAGGGGCGGAACGCGCCGGAGGGGAGCGGAAGCGGGCGGCGGAGTGTGGGACCCGCGCCGCCGGGTCCCGCGCACAAGTGGCCTCGGCAGGTGGCCGCGCCCCTCCAGCCCGCCTGCCGGCGCGACGCGTGCGGGATCAAAGCGGCCGGGAAGGGGCGGGGCGGGGAGGTGTCGGGAACCTGGAGGTGCAAGAGCGCGAGCTTCCCTGGGGCTGGCCGGAGCGTGGGAGCGCACAATCCCGGGCGGCGACAGACCGGAGACACTCGGAGACACAGGCAGAGAGATGGGGAGCAAGGGGAGAGATTCGAGGGGCCAGACTTGGAGGCCAGAAGCAGAGGCCGTAGAGACCACTAAAGACTGAGAGCAAAGAGACCCCGAGCAGCAGTCGTTAAGAGATCTGGAAACACTGAGAGATAGTCACCAAGAAGTCATCAGAGACCCGAAAGACTGCGAGACAAAAAAGGCCCAAGCCCAGGGGAAAAGGAAGTGCACTTCCAGGGTCTCGCTGTGCAGTTCAGGCTGGCCTGAGCTCACTTTGTAGCCAAGGATGGCTTCAAACTCACAACGATCCTCCTGCCTCAGCCTCCCTAGTGCTGGGATTACAGGCGTGAGCCACCATGTCCGGTTCAGAGAGCAGAAAATAAGAGGAGGAGGAAGAGAGGTGGAAAGAAAGGCAAGGAAGTTAGAGAGTAGTGGGCGGGGAGAACATCCCTCCCTGCCGAGGGTCGAGAGGACCCCCGGGGTAGGGATCCGAGTGCAGCGTCCTTTCTCAGGGTCACGCCTGTGGAGGCGCGGGCCAGGGGTGGAGGGAGGGGTGTGGAGGCTCAGGACCCTCAAACTGGAAGGAGGGGCATGTGAGGACCTAAGAAATGAGGCTTTGGATCTCGAGCTTCCAATTTTGCAAGAGTCAAAGGCTACAGTGAACACTAGATAGAACTGTTTAAACCAATACGCCATATTAAAAATATGACCAATGAATTTTTCCTCTTTATAAAAGGAACACACACACTGCATTGGCCGGGAATCGAACCCGGGCCTCCCGCGTGGCAGGCGAGAATTCTACCACTGAACCACCAATGCAAGCGACAGAAATCGTTCTCCCAGTTCCAGCTTTGTAGGAAGCTGAGGCTAACGCCCCTGGGCAGACAGCAGAGGCTGCACATTCAGGGAAGAGATGGCCCGCAATGGTTCTCGTGGGTGGGGCTCTGGGTCATTCTTCCTCTCGCCTGGATCCGGCCACCCTGCCATAAACCCACTCCATATGGCCAGGGGCGGCCCCACACCCGGGTGCGAACAGCTCAGGGCCCCGAGCCTCGCGTGCAGGTGAGAAAAACTCAACTCGAGCCCAGGTTCCCAAGGAGGGGGGCAGCGGGGGCTGCTGAGGCCACACATCTGCCCTCCCATTTGGCGGAGATAGGGGAGGTGGGATGTGCTGAGGGCCCTGATCCCAAATGGAAGTCCCCTCCTGAAGATCTGGGATCCTCCAGGTTCGGTCTTTAGCAAGAAAGTTTTTTTTCCCCCCCCTGCGAAAAAAACCAAGTTGTGGAGGAGGCTCAGGAAGGACTTGGAGGAAACCCCACTTTCCTCTCACTTGGCAACTATCTTCTATCTCGGTTTGTAACCCTGTCTTTCTGTGTACTTGTCCGTGGCACTCTTTGTCCCATTAAATCTCACTTACCTTCTCAGGCACTTCGTCCTGAAGTCTTCAAGTGTTCACGCATCCTTCTGGAGAGAAGGTCATGCTGTTGGTTTGAGGTGAGTGTTGATCCCTTTTTTTGCATCCCTTTCTTGTACCTTTAGGAAAACTGCCTGCTCCCTGCTCGCCTACAGTTAGGAAGGGCCTTCATATGCAAGCAACACGGGTACCCATGTATGAAGTTTCCCATTAGCTACGTTCCTGAGTTAATTCTTGAATTAAATACTTGTAAGTAGAGAGATCTTTCTACTCCGACTCAGACTTTAAAGATTTGATTCTTTTTCCTCAAAGCGCTCCTTGCTTTCCCTTAGTCCAGTCATCTCCAAGGAAATCCTTTTCCAGGAGCACCCACCTCCTTTGCTTTTATAATAGCTTGATGACACATCGCCTTTCCCCACTAGATCTGCAAGGATAAGCTAGACCTCTCCCGCATTTCAATTTGAACTACTCAAACCTAGACCAGTGCCCTGTGCACACAGACAGCGCTCAGATAATGGGCGAATTGAACAGTGCACCTCTTCCACCGCCAGGCAGAGAGCCCCAGTTGAAGTAGAGGTTCACAGTTATTCCCTTGGGTTACACAGTTATTCCCTATATCGACCAAGAGGGGAGTTTGGGTGACAATTTACAGTACTTAGCCTGAAGGCTGAGAGGCGCTAATTTTATTTAAGTGTTCTTGGGGGAACAGCGAACCTCCAAGAAAGCTGCCACTCTAGGAAACTCTCTGAATTTCACCTCTGAGTTCTGTCCCCAATACTGAAACTCTATCTCTCCATCCTCCCTTCTGCTGTGTCCCCTCCTCGTTATACAGCCTTACGGTCCTTAAACCAGCCAGTGCTTATTCGGCCCTTATTTCCCAATTCTCAGGCCAGTTCCTCTCCTTCCCCGCCCCCCTTGTCTCCTGGCCTTTCCGGGAGCCTCGTGCCGGGGGTCCTGGCCCCGCAGGATCCAGGTGCTTGCCGAAGGGGGCGGGGCCGTGGCCTATCCCTCCTACCCCAGCTCCGCGGGATATAAAGACCAAGGCAAGCGCGGCCCCGGTCCGCGCCAGGGTCCGGAGGAGCAATGGTCACCCGAGATAGAGCTGAGAATAGGGACGGCCCCAAGGTGAGAGGCGGGAGGGGAGGGAGCAGAGGTCCTCGGTCCGGCCTGGGAGCTTGGGCCCTGACACCGTGGATCAAGGGTGAAGATGGGGACACAGGGCTGAAAGGGGAGAGGTGCCCGGGGTGGGGAGGATCCAAGGAGCCAGGCGCTGCAGAGAAAGCTGCAAAGTTTGATGAAGAAAGAGAGACAGGGTCAGAGCAGGACGTGTGAGAGCGGCGGAAGCAGAGGTCTAGGGAACTGGGTAAAGCGGCACCTTGTGGGGGAGGGAGGACCAGAATTTCAGTAAAATGAGCAAGAGGGAACCAAGGAAAGGGGTTGGGAAGAGAGAGAGAGAAGAGAGAAGAGAAGAGAAGAGAGAGAAAGAGAAGAGAGAAGAAAAAGAGAGGAGAAAGAGAAGAGAAGGGAAGGGAAAGGAAGGGAAGGGAAGAGAAGAGAAGAGAAGAGAAGAGAAGAGAAGAGAAGAGAAGAGAAGAGAAGAGAAGAGAAGAGAAGAGAAAACGGAACGGAAGAGAAGGGAAGAGGAGACAGAGAAGAGAAGAGATGAACAGGCCCTAGCTCCACGGGGGCTGTGAGCCAGAGCTGACCTAAAGTAGTCCTTGCAGAAGGCGTCGGGGATGGGTTCCAGAGGTCCCCGATGGAAGACTTCCGGAAAAGCAGTGAAGGGGCCGGTCTGAGGGAGAAAAGGGAGAGCGGTCGCGCTAGGTGTCTCCCTTTCTACACTCAGGGCCGCCCGCTCTGAGTCCCGCACCGTGCAGCGCGCTTGCCTGGGCACAAAGAGGGTCCTCAGAGTTCTCCACTGAGACAGAGACTGCACAAGACGGAGACGTAGAGAGAAAGAGGAGAGACACAGAATGGGGAGGAGGGAGGACGAGACTCAGAGAGAATACGGAAGACCCGGGAGAGAGAGGAGGCGAGCTTCAGGAAGGGATCCCAGGAGCCGTGGGAGGGCGGGGAGTGGGGAGGGAGGGGACGGCCCGGCCCTAGGCAATCTGGGGTCCTGGGAAAGTGGAAGAAGGCTCTCCCAGCGGCGGGATCCGGACGCCGGCGCGGCGGCGCTGAGTCTCGGTCCGGTCGGCCCGCTCTCCCTTCCCGCTGGTCGTAGATGCTGAAGCCGCTAGTGGAGAAGCGGCGCCGGGACCGCATCAACCGCAGCCTGGAAGAGCTACGGCTGCTGCTGCTGGAGCGGACCCGGGACCAGGTCAGTCCCTCCGCTAGGTCCGGACTCCCAAGGATCCGATTCCCCCTTCCCAGGGCTTCCCACTGGGCTAGGGACATAGGCTGCAGGGGCAACCCTGGCCCCAAGGTATCCCTGACCCGAGCCCGGTCCTTGGGATGCCACTTCAGACTCCCTCTAGTTCTCAGAACGCCGGGTCTGTAAATTCCCCGTCTGGTTCTGTAAATTTCGCTTCCAGGGTGGATCAATCACCCCGTGTCTCTCTGAATGTCCCCTTCCCCTCCCTGACACCTCCAGATCAGCCAGCTTCAGTTCTGCGGCAGTTTTCACCCCCTGGGTAGCCATTTCCGCCCCCCTCCTCACACGCTGGGTGCTGGTCCCATGCCCTCGGCTTGGACAGTTTCGTCTCAGGGTGGGACAGGACCTTTCTTGGTCATCTCACTCCACATCCGGTCGCGCGTTCTGGGGGCACCGCCAGCTACAGTATCCGCCCCTCCCTTCTTCTCCCTGCCACTTTCCCCCTCTCTCCCCACCCCTTTCTGTCTCTGCGCCCTCCCCGCCCGTCTGTAGAACCTCCGGAACCCGAAGTTGGAGAAAGCAGAGATACTGGAGTTCGCCGTGGGCTACTTGAGGGAGCGAAGCCGGGTGGAGCCCCCGGGTACAGAGCGGGGGTGGGGCAGCGGAGGGTGGGGGACCCCTGGAGGCTCGGCTGGGGAAGCTGGGGCAGCCCTGCGGTGGACGGTGGGCTTGGGGGGCGGCAGACTCTGCTCCTAGGCGAGGTTAATAATACCCGCGCGTGTCTGTGTCTGTGTCTGTGTCTCCCTCATTTCTTCTCTCTGTCCATCCATCCGGCTTCCTGTCTCTGTGCGCCCGTCCGACCTCGGTACCTCTGCGCCCCGCCCCTTCCCTCACCCCTGCTGGGTCCCTGCCCTGCCGGTCTGTCTTCCCGCTGGCCGCCTCCGCCTCCGCGGCTCCAGGGGTTCCCCGGTCCCCAGTCCAGGACGCCGAGGCGCTCGCCAGCTGCTACTTGTCCGGCTTCCGCGAATGCCTGCTCCGCTTGGCAGCCTTCGCGCACGACGCCAGCCCGGCCGCCCGCGCCCAGCTCTTCTCCGCGCTGCACGGCTACCTGCGCCCCAAACCGCCTCGGCCGGAGCCCGTAGATCCGAGGCCCCCAATGTCGCGTCCACCGCTGGACCCCGCCACACCAGCTCTTGGCCCCGCGCTGCACCAGGGCCCCCCTAGCCCGCGCTGCGCTTGGTCCCCATCCCTCTGCTCCCCTAGCGCCTGGGATTCTGGCGCGCCGGCGCCCCTCACCGGACTGCTGCCGCCGCCGCCGCCGCCTTACAGACAAGACGGGGCTCCCAAGGCCCCGCCGCTCCCGCCGCCCGCTTTCTGGAGACCTTGGCCCTGAGCTCAGGGGGGATGGGGGCGGGAGCGGGGGCTGGGAGTGGGGTAGAGACTCCAGCCCGAGGGCAGCAGAGGGATCCGGGCGTCCGGGCGAGGTGTTGGGGAGGGCAGCGGGGCGCGGGGGCTCAGCGCGTGGGTGAGATGTGGTCTATATTAGAGTATCTATATAAATATATATTCCCTGATTCCTGTCCCTTTTCCCCGACCCCCTCCACCCTGCTTCTAGGATTGTACCCTCTGCTCCAGCTCAGTCCTAGTCCTTTCCCAAGTCCCTAGTGCATGGAATAAAGTGGTTATTAAATCCCCGTGTGTCCCGGAGCCAGGGCCCTGCCTTTATCTCGGCGTCCACGCCCACTTTCCCTTCCTTTCTGTCTTCTACCCGTAGTCCTGCTCTCCATGGCCCAAGTCCCAGGGCAAACAGGTAAGTAAAGAGAGCAGAGCAGAGACTAAGGTTAGGTCTGAAACCAAGTGGGAAGCGCAGAGATAGGGTAGGGGAAAAGAGATGGGCCTTTAAGAAAAGCCAGGTAAAAAGGAAAGAAAGGAAAAAAAAAAAAAAAAAAAAAAAAAAACTTTTGAAATAAAATCGACTCTGGTGGGATTCGAACCCACAACCTTTGAATCGCTTTTTTATTACTAGAAGTCCAATGCGCTATCCATTGCGCCACAGAGCCACCTGGCGGGTGGTAGCGTCTCGCAGCTTACGGGTAGTAGCAAGTTGAAGGGGCAGGGTAAGGGAGTGAATGTACGTGGAAATTGGGCGGAGCGTACCAGGAATGCGAGGTTAGGCTCTCTGAGGCCAGTTGGGGGGTGGGGGTGGGGGTGGGGTGAAAGATAAACTGCGTAAAGTACGTGAGCCAGGTGGGAGTGAGGGAGCGCAAGCGTGCAAGAAACAGGGAGGGAGAGCAAACGAACGAGAGCGAGCATGAGAGTGCAAAGCTCCGGCTGCCCGCTAGGGGAGTGCTTCCGGCTCAGACGCACTGCACTCTCAGATGTGGCCCCAGCAAATAAACTTGTTTTGTTGTAAATTTCTGTGTGTCTGTTTTCTCCGGGCTCATCTTTTCTCGCCACGTGGTCCAGGGTCTCGATGGTTCTCCTGTCCTAATTTGAAGAACGTGGAAAAGGAAATCAATTCAATGTTGTCATCACCTTAACTTCTGCCTTCTACTCTCTTAGGAGGATAGCGGGGACCCTCCATTTTCATGCAGGTAGCGTGGCCGAGCGGTCTAAGGCGCTGGATTTAGGCTCCAGTCTCTTCGGAGGCGTGGGTTCGAATCCCACCGCTGCCAGGCCAAGGTTTTCTTTTTTTGTTTTTTCTTTTTTTTAAATGCTCCTTTTTACGAGGACCTTATAAGCAGATTCACTGTCGACTTGCTCCTGTTTGGTCTTCCAGACGGAAGACTAATGGGGTCAGCGACCACACTCTAAACCAAGATATGGTGGAAACTGCCGAAATAACCTTTATTTCTTTGTAACTGATCTATTTTAACATGTTCAAATATAACATTCTTATCTCAGTACCATTTCATATATATAAATATAAATATATGTATATATATGTGTGTATATGATTTCCTGTATTTCTCTCCTCCATGTATTACGGTGATTTGAATTACCCACCATGAGGCAAGAACAAGCTTCTAAGTTGCTTGTGGTTTGAGATTCATTTCTGGTGAAGAGGATGTTGTACACAACGCAACAAATAATATATTTATATTTTACTAAGGACAGACCTGAAAATCAAAGGTTCCACCGAGATTTGAACTCGGATCGCTGGATTCAGAGTCCAGAGTGCTAACCATTACACCATGGAACCTACACTGCACTGTTTTCCTCAAACTTTATACATTACTCAATTTTCTATTCTGCCTGTCTTCCCCAACCCTGTCACTTAGCCAAAATGCAATTACAGAGCTGAGTATAGTAGACAACACTCCTGAGCACCTGAAATTTGAACCATTATATACTTTCAGCTACTAAGATTGAAGGCTGTACGAAAAAGACAAAATTTCATTAATATTTAAAAAATATTGTTAGGCTGTAACTACTTGTTAAATCCTTCTTGAGTATCTCTGTCTTCCTGAGAAACCACTTTGAAGATACCACCATGTATTACAGCAACCATTGATATTTTCCTACTAATCTATCCATAACTCTCTAATGTTTGTATTGTTCCTATGCTATTTCGTAAATGTATGTATGTTTATTATTATGTGTTTCCTACAACAACCACTGAGAATAGTTAATGATTATTCAATAGGTCACTCATGTATAGCTCTATTTATTTTCTTTAGAAGCCACTTTGAAGATACCAAAGTATAGTACAACTATTGATAATCTCCTACCTCTTTTGTCTGTAAAATTTTGTCTGATAATCTCCTACCTCTTTTGTCACTATTATTTGTCTATTTGTTTTCCTGAGAAACTATCTTGTAGATAACAATATGTAAAACAATAACCACTGATAATTTCCTACCACTTTGTCTGTAATTTGGTAAGCCCCTCCTATTATTATGTTATCCTTCTTTTACTCTTTAAAATAAAAAATAAAAAATAAAAATATTGATTGCAAGTTAAGATTTTGGCATATTTGGTTAAGTAAATATATTATTATGATTAATTTCTCCGAATATTTTACTCTTTTTGATGTAGCTCCTACAAAGTTTGCACTTGCATACATAGTTTGCAGAAATACTACTCTAAAACATCTCCTCTTTATTGTTCTAAATGATGCCAGGCACAGAAAGACAAATACCGTATGATCTAATCTATTTGTGGAATTTAAAGCAATCAGACTCACAGAAGCGAAGAGTGGAATGATGGTTAGGAGAGCCGTGCTGATCTGCTGATGACTATCAGAAGGTACAAAGCTTTAAGTGCACTGGAGAAATAATTTTTTAATGTTTGGTGCAGTCGAATGCTCTACTCTTGAGCTATACCCCCTTTAATGTTTATTATACAGCATAGCGACTATAGTTAAGAATTATGGATTATATATCTCAAAGTTGCTGGGCGTAAATTTCAAATGTTCCCTCCACAAATAAAATTGAGTTGATAAATGTTAATTAGCTTCATTTGGCTAGTCCGCATGTAGATATAACTGTGTACCTTATAAAGATATACAATAAAAATTTGTCAGTTTACAGTAAAAACATTAATAAACCAAGATCATAATGTTTAAAAAGTGTTTCCCTCCACTGTCATTCGTTACAACTTCAGAAATAAACTAAGACCATTTTCTTTTGACAAAATACAATTATTTTTACAACTACTGTTACTCGTTTTCGTTGCTTCATTGAAAATAGCCCCGCATACCTATTCACCCAAACGCCGCTCTTTTCAGTGAGATAAAAAGCTACAACGCCCGAACAGGGACTTGAACCCTGGACCCTCAGATTAAAAGTCTGATGCTCTACCGACTGAGCTATCCGGGCTCTTAGTGACATGCTCTTCTTCTCTGTAAAAGAGTTCTTTGCAGAACCTACAACCAAGCATGCCTCTGAACACAGAACAACAGACTCTGAAGAAGTGTGAGCACCCCGCCGCGGCTGATTACATTTTCCTGCCTTCTGCCTCATTTCCCCGCGGACTCTGGGATGCAGGAGCTGGAGCGTCGGAGGCTGGTTCAGTAACTTGCGGAGTCAGGACCCGCCGCGCGGGGCCGCTGCGGACTTCTGTCTTCCCACGCTGGGAGGTTGCTCCCTGGAGACTGTGACCCAAATCTCGGATCCTCCGGGCGCCTGGGCTCCCTCCCACAGAACTGCGGGATCAGGGCAGACATGGAACGCAAAGAATGCCACACGAGGCCTCCGCACGCTTTGCGCCAAGGACTCCACTTTGTCTCCTGAGCGGCCCTATCACAAGGGAGAGACTGCGGTGGGGCGTGCCAAAGGAGGGGGACAGACACCGAGCGTGGGGAGGGGATGGATGTGTGGGGTGGCAGGAGAGCTGCCCCTGACCCTCCTATCATGCTGAGGTGTGTGTACGACTCACCTGCACGTGGCTGCAGTCACTTGCGATGTATGACTGAATGCGGCTCAGGTGTGCTTAGTGAGTCACACGTGGGTGATTCACATGTCGGACAGTTCTGGCTGGGAGACAGGAGAAAGGGTCTTGGGGAAAACTGGAGAGTGGGTGGACAAGGGCCCTAGAGTGTCAGTCGAGTGCCTGACTAGGCGGAAGGCAATGTACCAATCATATAGGCATCACCTCCTCTGTGCTTACGTTTCAGTATTTTGTTCCTCCCTCCGCAGTGGACCTAGACTTCTGATATTTATCTAGTTAGTCAGCCAGAGGGACCGGCTGTGCCAGAGGCAAGCAAACAAGTGTTGGGGCGCAAGACTGGGTGGGGAGGGTGAACCAAAGCAACCCGGCCGGAGCTTCGGTGAGAGAGAGCTCAGGAGCATCCCAGAGACTGCTGGGTCCTTCCTCGGTCCTACCTTTCCCCAGCCCCCTCGCACCCACCCAGCAGCCCACCCCGTTCGGGTGGCTCACCTCCTCCAGGCCAGCGTTGCTGGGCACCCGCCCTTCCCTCCCATCATGGCAGTGTACCGCCTGTGTGTGACCACTGGTTCCTACCTGAAGGCCGGCACAATGGACAACATCTCTGCCACGCTGGTGGGCACGTGTGGCGAGAGTCCCAAGCAGCGGCTGGATCGGGTGGGCAGAGACTTCGCCCCCGGATCGGTGAGTGTAAACGGAGAGAGGTGGGGACTCTGAGGGGAAGAGCTGGTAGGAGACCCTGACGGGGGGGAGGATCTTTCTTGCCCAACTCATCAAATCCTGCTAATCCAGGATTTGCTCACATGGACCTGGTCAGCACTTTTTTTGTGTTCTCTGCGGTTTCTGGGATGACGAACCCTACCCAGGTGGGGCTAAGGGAGAGGAGCACTGGGCAGGGATCCGGACTTCCTTTGGCTTCCCCGTCCCTCGAGTAATTGACAGGGGCTTTGAGCCAGTCCCTTCCCTTCCCAGCCTGGGTTTCCCCTTCTCTGGAGGGGGTCTGCCCCCCTTACAGTGCAGCTATTTGTAGGTGGCTGCACAAGGGTGCCCCGCTGGCCGAGGTGGCTGGGGAAATCCAGGGACGCTCTGCTCGCACACCACCAGGGGTCCTGCCTCCTCCTGGATGGAGGCCTTTTTCTCGTTCATAAAAAGGCACTGCCTGGGTCAGCATAGACAGAGGGGTCCTGCACCCGGCAGGGGGCAAAGATGGCCTTAATAGTTCCCTGCCTCTCACGTGCTTGCTCCATTGCTGACCTCAGGTGCAGAAGTACAAGGTGCGCTGCTCAGCAGAGCTGGGTGAGCTCTTGCTGCTGCGGCTACACAAGGAGCGCTTCGCTTTCTTCCGAAAAGATTCCTGGTACTGCAGCCACATCACTGTCACTGCCCCAGATGGCACTGTCATCCCCTTTCCCTGTTACCAGTGGATTGAGGGTTACTGCACCATGGAGCTGCGTCCAGGAACAGGTGGGTCAGTGGTGAAGGCTGCGCTGTACTGTGGAAGTCTTTGGGATTAGGAATGGGGTGGCCCAGAGCCCACAGTATAGAGAATAGGGTTGGCTTTAGGAATGTGAAGCCCCCAAGTAGATACATTATGAAAGTTTGTCATTAAAGCCCTGAAATGCAGGGACTTTGGGGGCAGTATTTACCCCTCCAGAGGCACACATAGATATACTCACTTGCATGCTTGTATAAACATACACTCACATAGGCCAAGCAGTCTGCTTTCCAGAGACTTCCCCAGAGAATTCCTCTGGAGTCCAGGGAGAAATTAACTTGCAAGCTAATTAGACCTCAATAGAATTCCTCAATGTTTAGAGAATTCAGCTGGAGATGCCCTGTGCCTTCTTTCTGGCTTTTCTACCAAGGATGAAGTCCCTTGGCTGATGAATTAGTTTCCCTTGTTGAATTTCTGGGGAATTTCTAGGATGCTGGGCTCCAGTGTCTTCTGACTCCAGATCTGTCTGGCCAGTGGAGGCAACATTAGAGCTGTTCTCTGCACTGAGATGAGTCTCGGGGAGGAGAAATGGACATTTTAGGTCAAAGCAAGGCAGGTTAACATTACTCTGTGGCCCACAGTGACTTCTTCATAGACTTCGCTGTAAAACCCCATCATCATCACAGCGCCTCCAAAACTTTCCAAAATATATTTGTTCCTCACCAAGTGCATGTTATAGGCATAGTGCCAGGTACCACGCAAGATGCTGGGAATACAAAACATGAATGCAGCATGACTTGTGCCTTTAAGGAGTTTCCAGTTTAGGGAGAAGGTATACATGCAACACTTAGGAAGACTGTTATAATTTGAGGGTGCAGTTGTCTCAGATCCCTGATGAATGACAAAGAGCACAAGGCTATCCCCCATCCAACTCACATGGAGGTGGTTGTGGGACTGGGCTCAAGGGATAGGGGATTTAGGCAAGATTTGCAGGAGGGGGTGTGGTTTGAAAACAGATTTAGATGAAGTCTTGTCCCCCCCCCACACACACCCCCCTGTGCGGAGAATCGAACTCTCGACCTTGAGCTTGCCAGGCAGGCCAGCCCAAGTGATTTTCATTCCCCACAGCAAGAACCATTTGTCAGGACTCCCTCCCTCTGCTTCTGGATCACAGAAAGCGTGAGCTCCAGGCCCGACAAGAATGCTATCGGTAAGAGTGTCCTAATTTAACTTCTTTCCGCATGATTATTCTGACCTCAGCCTTAATCAGATTATTCCTGTGATTGAGTCCCAGCATTGGGATCCCAACTCTGGTAAAGACTCTTATTTAAACCTAACCCTAGTCTAATAGTGACCCTGAGTCTGGATCCAAAAACTAGTATCAGCAATTATCTCTGGCTAGAAATGTAGCTATAGCTCAGTAGTAGAGCACTTGCCTAGAATGGACAAGGCTTGGGTTTCATTCCCACACTCAGACAAAATGAAAACAAAATAAACATACAAAAAATCCAGTAACTATCCCAGTATCACCAATGAATCCATACTCAACTCCCAAATATCCCTGAGGTAACCCAGATGCAATATCACAAATGACTCTGTCCGAGTATTTACCAATCTCAATCTATCGTCAGGCTCATCCTCAAACCCGTCATGATGTTAATCTCAGCACACACTGCTTTCTAAACCAGTGTGGGCATTTATGTCCTCCTCAGATGCTATCCTGAGGGCTGGGGTATAGATCAGTGGCATGCTCAAGGCCCTGGACTCAATTCCCCAGCCACTGCAAATTCTAATTTGAAGCCCAATGCATTAGTGGAGAAAATCCAGTTCTCTGTCACATATCTAGAAAATGGATGGTCTCTGGAGTGTTAATCTGAAATCATGTCTTGGGGCTGGGGATTTAGCTCAGCGGCAAAGCGCCTGCCTGGCAAGCGCAAGGTCGTGAGTTCAGTTCCTGGTACCAGAAAAAACCAAAACCAAAAAAAAAAAAAAAAACAAAAAACAAAAAACTGAAATCATGTCTTCAAAACTTGAAGTCTGAGGTGGGTGTGGTGGTTCATGCGTCTAATCCTAGGAGCATGAAAGGCTGGGGTGGGAGGATTGTAAATTGGAGCACAGCTTGGGCAATTGAGCAATTTAGTGAGGACTTGTCTCAGAAAAGAGGGGGAAAAATAGGTGCTGAGACAGTGCAAAGACGCTGGGTTCAACTCCCAATACCACTACCAACAAACAAATAAAAATAAAAAAGTTAAACCTGTTTATCTCAAGCTTGACCTGCCATCTCTGCTTGATCTGCCTCTTTTTGTGGGCAGCTGGAAGATCTACACCCCTGGCTTCCCTCGAATGGTGGATGTCAGCAGCTTTGAGGAGATAGAGTCAGATAAGAAATTTGCCTTGACCAAGACAATACCTTGTGCAGACCAGGGTGACAGGTGAGGACTGAGCCTTGGGAAGGAGATAGCGGGGAGTGAAGTGGAGGGTCAGATGGGAGGATGAGTCCAGGCAGCCTGGAAGGAGGAGTTGGGACCTATAACAAATACAGTTTCATTCAAGTGTCAGGAAAAGAAAGGACTGGGAATGGGGTCCTGCAGAGATGACAAAAGTGAGAAGGTCATTTTAGATCTGGAGCAGAAAGGGCAGGGGAAGAGCCAGGAGCGAGGGGGAACCTGGGTGCAGGGTGGGGACTGAGGGAAGGAATGGAGAGGCGAGGGTTGCAGGTCCTACTGACTGGCTTCTGTCTTTCTACTCCCCTCACCCCCAGCCCTGGGAATCGGTACCTGCCTGGATTCCCCATGAAAATTGACATCCCATCCCTGCTGCACATGGAGCCCAACATCCGCTACTCAGCCACCAAGACGGCCTCGTTGCTCTTCAATGCCATCCCTGCGTGAGACCACCGTCCTCTCCACACTCTTGCTCAGTGCCCTGTCCCTTTGCGCACACTGCACGTCTCTGCCCCATTTCCTCTGCCTCTCACCCTCACACTCCCTCTTCTTGTCCCCCAGTGTCCCTTTCCCTTGTCCCTTAGTCTCTGTTCCTTCACATACTTTGCACCTTTCAGAGCAAGCACCTAGTCCAGCACAGCGTGGTCCCAAGAACTGGGGCCATGTCTAGTAAGACAGAGAAGTCTGGTGCTTCGTTTAAGCTAGACAACTTCAGGTTCAGGTCCTAGAATGCATATTTTCTAGCTGTATACCCTTGATTTTCACTCAGTCTCTAAACTGTTAACTGTCACTTGTTAGATGACAAATAACATCTATCACTACCTCAGAGACTTTGAGAAAAATGAGATAACTACACAGGACAAAATAATCTCTCAATAGGGGTTCCTTAGTAGTAGTATTTGAGAACAGGCTTTGGCTGGGAGGAATTCACAGCTTCACTTAGGAAGCATGAATGCAGATAATTAGCTGTCAGAGCAGTCATTAGCAGTTTAAGTAACATAAACAGCTGGGGCTCTAAGTGCATGTGGCTGGAGGGAGGAGTTCAGTTAACCCCCCGCGTGCCTAGAAAGGACAGGGGTCATCTGGGTCCAGGTGGTAGCTCTGGTGGAGAGAAGAGATAAGGGGACAGTAGGCAGGTCCCACCGTCTAAACTCAGGTTACAGTTGATCAACTGCTTAGGTGGGCCCACGAGACTCAGTTGGCCAACCGAGCACGGGCTGCATGTGGAGACCCAGAGGAAGCCAGGACAAGGCCTTGGGCCTCATCTCCTGGACTTCTGTGTGTGTGTGTGTGTGTGTGTGTGTGTGTTTTTCTTTTGAGACATGGTCTCACTGTGTAGCACAGGCCGGCCTTGAACACCCTTATGAAGCCCAGGCTGGCCTCGAACTCAGGGTGATGCTCTTGCCTCAGCCTCCAGAGTGCTGGAATGACAGGTGTGGGCCACCATGTCCCACTCAACCTCTGTGCTTGGAATGATTATTTCTGAAGATGAGTGGGACAGGAAGAGGGCATGAGGGGTGAACAGGAGCTCAAGAGCATCTCAGGTGGATAGAGTATGCACATGTGGCCCAGTCTCCAGAGAAAGAACAGGTTGTGAGGCCCTAGCAGGACTGAAGGGTTGGAAGAGCTTCTGAGAAGGTAGCGCATGCTCTTAGACTGGTTCCCAGATGGGAGTGGAGGTGTAGGCAGAAAAGAGCCTAGATGACCACAGGGACTACCAGTGTGGGCTCTGAGAAGAGCCAGTGGGAGCAGGGAGCTGTTCAGAGAGCTGAGTATGGGGCATCTGCACAGGGTTCGGAAGGACATTTGTGGATGGCACTTGCAAAGTGCTTCCTTAGCTTCTGCTGTCACGGTGGAGTTCCTGGCACTTTTTCCTCATCTCCCGGGTTTTGATTTGCAGGCACTGAGCAAATGTTTGTACAGTGAGTGAGCAAGCACTTTGTGGTATAGGTGATCTCGACCCTGCGCCTGTCAGATCGTTACCCCCCCCCCTCGTGCCCTCTGCCTTCCCCAGCTGCCCACAGACTTTAGGGCACATTAATGTCTTTATACAACCTGCCTTACTGACTGATCGCTACAAGCCTACCTGTTCTGGGCTCCCTTCCCTTCCCTTGGTTCAGCACACTTGGTGAGCGGTTATTAGGAGCAGGGTGTGTTGGGGCACACAGAGCCAGGACCTTCCTCTAGGGAGCTCACAGCCTAATGGACGATGTCATATGTGTCCTATGTTTATAATGTCATGCAGGGAATGGTGAGTGTTTCGTGAAAGACCCAAGCTGTGTGTTTTGGGGAGGGCCAGACAAGGCTGCATAAAGGACTCTGTGTCTTAGATGTATCTAGAAGAACAGATAGACCTCATATAGTAGGAGATGGCTTTCTGGGAGAGATCTAGCTGGAGCAGAGCCCTGGAAGTGAGGGAAAGCCATTTAATTTCAGCCACTTCCTCCATTATAAAATGATACTCACTGGAAAAAAAGCCACTATAAACATTCATAAAGAAGGGCCAACCCTCTGCTTGCCTATTCCACTTTCGACAGTCCAGTGGTATACAAAGTATGTGCCTGGTTACGTTTGTAAAGCAGGCCTTGGCTGGCCTTGTCTAGAGCACAGGGTGAGAGAAACAGTGGAAAACTTGGTAGAAACTGGTCTGTGGGTAACTTCACAGATGAGCCAGGCTCCACAGCTGGGGTTTTGTCCTGTAGGTCAGGGGTTGCGTAGGGTGAAGGCCTTTGATAAGAATGACACTTGGAGAAAGCAGCCAAAACCCCAGGAGGGTGGCTTGTCTGCACCAGGGGGTCAGGGGCATCAGTCACTCCTCCCAGGGTGGTTGTATTTGAACCAGGAACTCCTCAGGCTAACAGAGCGTCACAGAAGTACTAGGCTTATTTCCCGTGTGGATCCTTAGGCACCTGTACTGTAGGGGATGACCTCCTCAGTTCTTTCCAGATTGTGGGCACAGTGGCTTCAACAGCCCCCAGCACCCATTCTCATCGTCCCTTCCCCCTCAGGTCCTTGGGCATGAAGATTCGAGGGCTGCTGGACCGCAAGGGCTCCTGGAAGAAGCTGGATGACATGCGGAATATCTTCTGGTGCCACAAGACCTTCACTACAGGTGTGGACAGTCAGGCAGGGGATGCCTATCCTTCACCTTGCCTCACGCCAGACTCCTTCCTCCTGTCCCAGTCTTCCCTGGGAGACTGCTGGATTTGAGTGGGAGATGCTCCTGGTTTCACTGGTGGGATCACCCAGATTCCCCTGGGAACCCAGGCACCTCCTCTGATGGGGAGGGTAAGAATATGTTAGTGAGAATCCTGATTAGGAGCACACAGCTCATTCCCTACCAGATGTTCTACCTACCAGATTCCTACCTACCAGATGTTCTGGGCTTTGGGGTCAGAAGGGCTTAGGTTCAAACCCCTGCTCTGCCACTCAGGTGAGCAAGTCACTCCATCTCTCAGACCCTTAGCATTCAATCCAGCATTCAATCAAAGATGTACCTACCTCATTAAGATACCGGGAGAAAACCTAAGCCACAGCGATGAGCTAAGGGCTGGATGGGACCAGAATCTAGAACAGTAATCTCCAGACCTGCTAGTCCTCTCTCTTGCTCCTTAGAGTATGTCACAGAACACTGGTGTGAGGACAACTTCTTTGGGTACCAGTACCTGAATGGCGTCAACCCTGTCATGCTCCATTGCCTCTCCAGCTTGCCCAGCAAGCTGCCCGTCACCAATGACATGGTGGCCCCCTTGCTGGGACCAGACACCTGTCTGCAGACAGAGCTAGAGGTGGGTGAGGACCAGTAGTGGGCTTGATAGAAGGGAGGCAACCGGGGGGCCATTATGGATGAGGGATGAACGTGGACAAGAATGGCCTAGGCCTGAGGCCTTATCCCCTGTGCAGCCCGTGCCTGCACCTTCCAAGTTGAGCAGATAGGGACTAGGGCCAGATGGGGCCTCTTGTAGGGCCTCAAAAATCCCGGATGCTGAGGCCTGAAAAACAGGCCAATGGAACAGGCCTCCAGATGGAGCTGGAACAGTCGTGGAGGACTAGGAACTCTGAGGGCATGGGGGTAGGTGACGAGCCACTCTCTCTGGGGCAGCCATGCCCCAGACATTTTCAGCAGTTAGTTAATTCTCACTGTGTGTTGGTTTTGTTATTGTTGAATATATTGAGGTCAAATCTCAAAGGGGGAGGTGACAGTAGGAAGGACCAGGTGTGGAAGGACAGAGGACACTGGATTGTCCTGGATGCTGGAGAGAGATCAGGTGAGAGGTTGCGCAAGGCGCTGGAGAGAGACTCATCTGGACCTCATTCTGCACATTCTGGGAAGGGTGCGGTACCCAGAGTTGGCTCTGAGCCCAGGCATCAAGAATTGCTGAGGCCGCACTGGGGACCTTAGCTCGTTCCTGTGGCACAAACTGAGAGGGAAGCAGAGCGCGGGTGTGAAGAGCGCGCTAAGAGTCTGTGCACCTTTCCAGAGGGGCAACATCTTCCTGGCCGACTACTGGATCCTGGAGGACGCCCCAGTCCACTGTTTAAACGGCCGTCAGCAATATGTGGCTGCCCCACTCTGCCTGCTGTGGCTCAACCCCCAGGGGGCGCTGCTGCCCTTGGCCATCCAGGTGAGCCAGGGGCGGGGATTTGGGCGGGGATTTGGCGGGGGTGGGTGGGTAGGGGGTGGCTCCCGGGACAGACAGCCTCGGCCCCACCTCCTTATTACTCTCGCTCACTCGCAGCTCAGCCAAACCCCCGGGCCCGATAGCCCCATCTTTCTGCCCACTGACTCCGAGTGGGACTGGCTGCTGGCCAAGACATGGGTGCGTAACTCTGAGTTCTTGGTGCACGAGAACAACACGCACTTTTTGTGCACGCATTTGCTGTGCGAGGCCTTCTCCATGGCCACGCTGCGTCAGCTGCCGCTCTGCCATCCTATCTTCAAGGTCAGTGCCACGCAGGGAAGGGGTCAAGCGGGGGGGGGGGCGCGAGCGGCCTTCTTCCTTGACTTTGGACTCATGTGACCTCGTTTTGCTCGCAGCTCCTGCTTCCCCACACTCGCTACACGCTGCAGGTGAACACCATTGCCAGGGCCACGCTGCTCAATCCAGAGGGCCTCGTGGACCAGGTGCGGCCTCCTTAGCCTGGGAGAATGACCTTTCTGGCCCCGCCCCTGAGGATGCTTTGCCCGGTCCACAAGCTGGAGACCGGGTCCGCAATCTCCACCTGCCCCTTCCCGCAAGCCCCGCCCTCCCCGCTTGCTCCGCCCACGAGCTCCACTCGGGACTTCCACCCCCTCACGCCGCGGTTTCGCGGGCAGGGTTGCCTCAGCCCCAGTGCCACCTTCAGAGGAGGCGGGGCCCAGCCCGGTTCTCGCTGCTCCGGCTTTCAGTGTATTCTTTTCTTATCAAATATCTGAGGAGCTCTACTATGCACATAGTAGGGCCGCAGCCCACGCAGACTGCACTGAGGCAGGCCCATATGGGTGTCCCCGGGCCCTGGGTGGAGGTTGGGCCAGCCCGGAGCCGAGCTGTGCTGTGTCTACAGGTCACGTCCATCGGGAGGCGTGGCCTCATCTACCTCATGAGGACAGGTCTGGCCCACTTCACCTACACCAATTTCTGCCTTCCGGATAGCCTGCGAGCCCGTGGCGTCCTCACAGTCCCTAACTATTACTACCGAGATGACGGCCTGAAGATCTGGGCAGCCATTGAGAGGTGCGAGCCCAGCAGGGCAGCCCTCTAGCCTCACCAGGGCTGTGCCATGCCGGCCGGGGCTTTTGGGGCTGGGGATCCCGGGTGTCCCTAGACTCCAGCCAGCATAGGGACTGCCCAAGGGTAGGATTTGGAGTTGGGGTCCCCTGTGAAATGGTTGGTAGATGTGAGCTACAGAGGGGTGGGCGCAGGCAATACAGTGGAGGAGGAGAAAAGAGGGGCTGGGCTGTCCAACAGCTAAGGATGGCTGGCGACTCCAGGCCCACAAGCAGGCAGGCAGGGCTTCCTCCTCAGGGTGGCTGAGCGCCCAGGAAGGGGAGCATGAGGCAGACTCTTCCCTGTGGATTCTCCCCCAGGCCTCTGTGCGGGAAGGAGGCCCACAGCCTTCTTGATTCAGGATCAGGGATGGGACCTGAGGGAAGCCTGGATACTGGGGTTCCAACTGGAACAGGGGGTCCCCACTGAATCTCCATGAACTCTCAGTGAACTCGGGCCATCTGCCTCTCCCCAGCCTGAGTGGTAGTTGGCTTTGGTGTGTGGCCGGGCCGGGCCGGGCCAAGGTTCCTCCAGAGACACCAGCATCTCTTTCCTGCAGCTTTGTCTCAGAAATCGTGGGCTACTATTACCCCAGTGATGATTCGGTGCAGCAGGACTTGGAGCTGCAAGCTTGGGTCGGCGAGATTTTTACTCAGGCGTTCTTGGGCCGGGAGAGCTCAGGTATCTCCTCTCTGCCCTCCACCCTCATTAGTAACTGAATTCTTAGTTCCTCTTTGCAGCAGTTCTTCTTCTCCTTATATTTTGCCTTTGAAACCCATACTACAGGCAGCGGATATAGCTCAGCGGCACAAGCGACTGCCTAGCAAACGGAAAGTTCTGAGTTCCATTCCCGGTACCAAAAAAAAAAAAAAAAAAAAAACAACCCATACTACTACTCTCCCACTTATCAGATGAGGAAGCGCGAACAGAGAAGGCTGCAAAAGCAGGATCCCAATTTCAGTTATTTTCCAGACCCTTGCTTTTCAACAGTGCCTCACATTTACACAAAGCCATCCATTCGTCCCTGCTTGCTGAGCTCTGTCGGTATGCAGCATGTGGTGGGAGGCATCTCTGACTTCAAAGTGTTGTGGAAGCTTCTCATATCCTCTTATGCCTGTTCTGCCAAGCGGACCCTCTAGTCACCAATCTCTGTTCACTTCATAGAGCGGGTCTTCCTGCCGCCAGACTCGTGATTCATACCTTGCATCCAGCCTCTGCTCTCCCCTGTCTTCTGACACTGGCCGAGAGGCTTCTGTGAACCATCCCTCCCAGCGGGGCCCCCAGCCTCCATTCCTTAAGCTCAGTTCCAGGCAGATGCCCCAGGCCACCTTTCTTTGTTTGGCCTGCCCTCTGCTGGGGTGGGGTGGGGGAGGATGTGGCCTTTTGAGCCTGCAGCTTCTTCCTGGGTCCTAGCCATCTCCCTGTCCCAGCTCTTGGCTTGTCTTGGTTTTCTGATTCCTCTTTCTAATTCTCCCTAATGGGCTATATCCAGCTCCTGTTCCAGGCTGATTTCCATATCTTTCCAACCCTGTTGGAAATCTCACATCTTTCCAACTCTGAAGGACTTTTCTTTTTGCTACCTCACTTTGACCCTTAACTCTGACCCGCATTCTGACCCAGTACATGAAAATTACAAATTTTCATTTTACAGAGTGGCCTTGCTTAAGTTAAAGTGATTCAAATGTCCACCCCCCAGGTCCCCTAGCCCTGGTCTTAGGCTTCTCTCGGCAGGGATGTAGGTTTCAGCTGGCTTAATGCTTCTGGTTGCATACAGAGGAATGGTGGTGGGGATGTCTCAGATCATCTGCAGATAGTACAGCTGTTGTAGTCCTAACTGAGGTGGGCTCAGAGCTTTGCCTTGCTTTTAAACAAAGTATCAAGCATACTGGACAATAGAGAATTTAATATAATCAGCACCTATTTACCTACCCATTAAGTTTAACACTGGGCAACATTTTGCCATATTGATTAATCTGTTGCTTTTGTTTATTGCTGAAGTCTTGTGAAGTAAGTTGCAGTCATCTTATTTCACCTTGGTTAATATGCCCTTTTAATAATGACATTTTCCTACAGCTGTAATCCCAGTACTCTAGGAGGCTGAGGCTTGAGCTCAGCCTGGGCAATTTAGTGACTTAGTGAGACCCTGTCTCAAAAGCAAAAACAAAAACAAAAACAAAAACTAAAGGGCTGAGATATACTCAGTTCAACCCCCAATATTGGGGAAAAAAGACATTTTTCTACATAACAACTTTACACTTAGCTTTTCCTTTCTTTTTTTTTTTTGAGGTCTTGGGAACGGAACCCAAGGCCTTGCACTTCACGTACTCAGCTACATTCAAATCCCTAAACAAAACTGACAATAATTTCTAATGTCATCCTCTCTTAAAATTTTTTCAAATTTAAATTTCTTGTGGTTTAGGGGATGGAGTCCAGGGTCTTGCCCATCCTAGACAAGTGTTGTACCGCTGAGCTATGTCCCCATCCCTGTACTTAACAAGATTACCAATCTCTGGTGTCACCTTCATATCTAATACATGCTCAAATATCCCCAGTTGCCCTTTTTTCTCCCAGTGGCTCCCTATTGATTCAGAAGCCAATTAAGGACCATAATTTGTTACTTGGTTTGACTCTAAAGTCTTTTTAAACTTAGAAGAGTACCTCTT